ACAAACTTGGGGTTACTTGATAACTATCCACAGTAATGGGAACAAAGAAACAAGAAGCCTTGACAAATTACGAAAGCTCATTTTTGGGACGTTATTTCAATTAATTCAAAGCTTGTAAAACAATAACATTTATTTTTGTCCCGAGTCTGTTCTACACATCATAAGCTTTCGTTTGATATATGATTCACTGTCATAACCCTTTTCGTTCCAAAGCTATTATAATTTAAACGTATTATTTTGTACCATATTTTCTACCCTAATTCCCGGGGTTTGGATATGATTGTGTTTTCCTAATTATTGTGCGTTGTGGTCGGGTTAGTCATCTATTTATTCACGTATCTTTTAACACCGATCTAAAATCGGGAATAGATCGAGTAGTGTTCCAGTTGTCCTGTCTTCTTTCACTCGCGTGCTTGTCAGTCAGTCAGGTGATAGTATCGTTTTCTTCTCTCAACCCAACTTCGAACTCACGCGTACTAGCCTTAAGGTTAAGCCGGTCAGCCTAATGCGTCAAGGTCTTAATCTAGACTAGACAAGTTATCCTCAGCACCAGAAGTCGATAGACGGATCAATGACGTAACACACAGAGTAAATATCATTATGTGTACTATTGAAAACTAGTAAGATAATGGATTTTGCTGAGATTTTTGAATTTGAAGTAGAGAACTGTCGAGCAATTGAAGACTATCGGATAATATGTAAATATTTTAATTCAATTCTAGGAACTCCTATAATGAATCAAATTTTAGACTTATGTCTCACTATCTGAATGATGGATACTGTAGTGAACGAGAATACAAGTGTGGATAATCAAATGTGTTTAAATACAAAATTACAGAATATCTTGGTAAAATTTATGAATCATACAGTAAATAGTTCATTTACAAAATGTCAATCAATCGTCTCAGATTTTATTGTTCCTTCATTTTCCCATCAATCACTCTCTATTCTCGTTCTCTTTTCTTGAATCTTCTTAACTTTCTGCCGCCAGGCATTTCACTTTCGATTGATGATACTTACTAATTGTATCTGTAGACGCCAGTAGCACACACCAAAGATACCTTTAGACAAATGAATCAAGGATTCAATGTTTTGCATTTTAAACTTCAGTTGATTCTGAATGAATAGTATGTTTATTATTCTCTTATCTAATCACCAGAGCAGCAAGTTTCGTTCTAAAGTGAAGAGATTAGTCTTGAAGCTATCTTCATTTCATCATCATTATCCTTTTCTTTCTTATCTGTATTTACTACATCTTATCTAGTTTCTTCAGACACTGACGATACAATATTAAACCTTGTTATTTTCTCTTGTATTTCATTGACCTTATGGTAAATTATTTTTAACGTCTTAACAATAACCTATACATACTTATGCAATTTAATCATGTTCATTTTGTTCCCTTGTATTCCAACTATGATGAATAGTTTTTTTTGTTTTTTTTTTGTTTTAATCATATCATCATAATATAGACCAATCCTTGCTTATGATATCGTTTTTTTCTTTCTTTACTATATCACTTTGTTGTCATAGCAACAAAATCATTGTAATAAAATATCTATTTTGTTTATTTGTCTACAGACAAACAAACAAACAAAAAACCAAAACTAAAACAACAACAAAATAACAATTTATCTTATCAAGTAGATTACAGACACGAGTATAATATTTAAATTGTTAATTTTTAAACATTTTTTTTCTTCAAATCTCTCATTCAATGTTCAATAGTTCTTATTACTTTGTTTTACCTCAATATTTCTCATTCATTATGTAGCGCAATTATAAAGTTTTATACATGTGAATTAATTGATCAATTCAATCTCATATGTTTATTGATCGAACAGTGTAATTGATTAATAGTATTTGAAATATAAATTCATAGGTGTATACTGATCATCAACAAACCGATGTTTACAAGACAAACAAATATATTTTGTCTTTTCTTATAAGTAGTATCATTAGTAACAAACACAAGGTTTTTTTTTCTCTGAATTACTTTTCTCAATGCATTTCTTTGTGCTTAAAATGTACTTACTTAATTACTTACGCCTGTTACTCCTAATGGAGCATAGGTCGCCGACCAGCATTGTCCAACCCACTCTATCCTTGGTCTTCCCTTCTGGTTCTATTCAATTCTTCTTCGTTCCTCTCATATCTGTCTCCATTTCTCGGTGTAATGTGTTCTTTGGCCTTCTGGTGGGCTCCAGGCGGAGTTGCTTTAAATGTGGAGATATGGAAACTCTTAGAGTTTGAGATATGTAACAAATCGATAGTTGACGCCATTTAGTTCATAATATTTATTGTTTATTGTAAAATGTGATTGGATTCGTTGGAACACTAAATAACAAATGATGGTTTCTATTTTTTTATTGTTTTTTTTGTAAATCTATATTGTATATGTATTATGGTATGTTGGTAACGAGTTGTAAGAAGAAATTGAAAAAGGTTACATTTTCATGAAACTTAGGTAGAGTTGAAGAGAACAATAATTGTGGATTATTCCTGAATATTCAGGTTTGAATTGTGTTATAAGTATATGAACCTACAGACAAATTGAGATTAGTACGTTAAAGGACTGGATGAAATCAAAAAATTATGCTTACTTACTTCAGGCGATCAATTATTTCTAGCCGAAAGAATACTTTTGTGAATTATAATGTTCCTCTGTTTTATTATATGACAATCCATTTTGAGATATTCATCTTATTATGTCAATATTAAGGATCGTTAAAACGATTGTTTAGTAACAACATGAACTAGTGAGAACTAGCAGGATGAAATGTACAATTTTTCCGTTTTAATTTGTGATTGTTCAGTAATAATCTGAGACAAATCAGTTAGTTTTTGATGAAAAGTAACTTTTATAATCGAAATACTTGTATTTGTTGTCAATAATACATTATCTACTTTAATTAAAGATTGTAGTGATTGTAAATGACCCGTGACTTAACTAATCAACAGTGGGACATGGGGGTTTGAAGAATTCACATAAGTAATCATTTTATACTTTCACATACTTGTCTCTATTCTTTCGGGAGAACTTTGCTCAACGTCGCTTGTAATATTATTAGCTCCCAAAGAATCCTATTAGTCAATAAGAATTAAGGAAACACTGAATGTATAGAAGAAAGGTCTTATGAGTAATGTATTATTTTTTAGAAAAGCCGCTATTTTATACTTTTAGAAATCCCCTGGCATGATTGTCTTCAAACATATAACTTGAATACCTAAATTGATCTTACACAGTCCTTACTGAGGTTAATTCTGAATACTATACTATCACAGAAGTTAGATTTTATCTAATTTGGTCATTGCAATTTGTGTGTGGGAGGAGCAATCGATGCCTTTGAAAATTTCACTGATTTCATCGTAATTATCATTGTGAACACGGAGCTACTTATTTCAACGCAAGTAGTATGACAGTAATAAAATATTATTTCTATCTGTCTTTGGCTTAAAATAGCACTTCGATCATTTGTGCTATTTGTAAAGGAAAAACGTTTCCTATGTATCATTCATTGTTTTAATTCACTATGCTAGAAAGAATCCGAGTTATCAAGTTTCATGATTATTTCTAAATTCATATTTTGTTATGACTTTTGCTATTCCCCTATTGGTCGTAATCGCTTTTAATTTGCCAGTTTTTCTGCACCGATTTAGGGCTTGGATACTATGTGTACATAGTTATCGTACTTTAATTTTGTCTAAATTACGTATGAAGTTTTGTTTTCTACTCCTGACTTCTTCCTGGGTCCTACCGTTGGGAATTATTGTTGAAGAACTATATCTTGTATCAACCACCGTTTTAGCTAATCCTGAATGGATTCCGTTCGTCTTAGAATTATTGCTACCGTTCGTAATTAAAAGTTATTATGGTCGCAACCGATAATCTAACCACAATCGGTTACCATAGATTTTAACACACTAATACCAGAAAGTGAAGTTGATGTATTAATTTAAGGAAGAAACAAAATTCTTTTAGAGTAAGTTTCACCAAGAAATTCCATCAACTAGAGTATCGCTGAAAACTTGAAAGACACTAGTTGAGTCATCTCTTTGTAATTTCTGACACTTAGTAATACAGTTTACATTTAATTGATGTTATTTAAGTGAACTAATTAACTGACCAAGAAGATCCCTGTAGTATTGTTGATCGTGTTTGCGAAAATAGTATTCGAAAACCGAATCGGAATATAATTAGGTTTCTTTTTTACTTTTTTATCAAGCGATTGACGCCTGGAGCTCGTCGCTAGAACAGTCAGTATCACTTTCAGGAGAAACTGAATCCATAGCATAGATTAATGTTAATTAAAAACTGACATCTAGATCAGATGGTATGAACTACATCAAATTTATGAAAAAACCATTAAATAATTTATGTATTTCAAGGTAGAACTGATTCACTCTTTCTTTTTTAATTTTACGGAACACTAGCATGTCTTTCGCGTCTTTCGGCTAATTCGTATTGACTATCTCCACGTGATGTAGTCCTTACTCAGATTACTTACTTACTCACTTACGCCTGTTACTCCTAATGCAGCATAGGCCGCCGACCAGCATTCTCCAACCTTACTCAGATACGGTTATAAAAAAGTGGGTGTCCAGAAATTAGACTAGGTTGATGTATACAAATATAATTGGAAGGGAATAAATCAGGGATCAAAATTTCAACTTAGTGGACAATAAAACAAATGTTTCTCTACTTTAAACTTTGGTACATACTTCTACATAGTTTGATTAATCCTATTGGATAGTTTATAATGTAGATGGACCAATTATTCATCAATTTTTCCATTGTAATTTTAGAGTGGATAAAATGTAGGTAGAAAATTACAATTTTGTTATTCTTCACAGTTTCAGTCTAGAAAGTCTCCCCTATTGAGATAAGATAACTGTCCGATACTTTTTTGAATTCCAATAGTTGGTTAACGGAGTTAGTCCGTGATATTCATAACTGAATAAAATTTGCCATAAATAAATGACTTTAGAGCTTATTTTATATGATGAACTTGGTAATATTGGTAAGTTTGAAATGTTACAATCAATAACAATAATTGAATTAGATCTTTGTATCGATTCTTCAACACTACTGTATCACTGACTTAAAGAAAATCGGTATTCAAAACAGTTTCCAGTTGATATGTAAGTAAATATTTGATGAAATTTTATGATGTGACCAAAATTCACTTTAAAATATCAACAACGAGATGACTTATACCGTTCTTGATAATGACATCCGTTGAACAAACTAGCGACTATCTAGATTCAGCAGGTCAGCCTATGTGGCATTGAGAGTTTGGACTATTGATATAAACATCAACGTAAACTCAGATACATCTAGGTGATAAATCACAAATAGAATGAAATGCGTGTCTTAGATTCTGATGCTAGCAATAGTCTATCTAAGATGAATAATTTTTCCCAAACTTACCACTACAGATACCTCCGTTTAATAAGTAATAAGTTTTGGTAAAAAACATGTCATCAGTATAATTCCAGTCACTTGACTCCTTTATAAATTCAGCACAGCTTATTGATAAAATTTGTGGTAAATAGTTTTCTTTGGTAAAATGTTGACAATAGGAAATAGTTGAATGTGTTTTATCTGCTCATAAACTGACAGAAATTTGTGTTTAGTGTTGTATTTTAAAATCGATGCCTTCTACTTCATTTATTGTTTCTCTCTTTTCCTGCTTGTAATTACAATATTTCACATTCTTTTAAGCCATCTATATTTTCTCTAATGCTTTACTTTCTTCTACATCTAATTTGTCTTATATGATTGGTTATCTTTTACTTCTTACGGATAAACTTGATGTTAGGTAGTCGGAAAAATAGACCAATAATTATCATGTTAAGTCCAATGGTGTCTTTGGACCTTAAATGTACATTTCCCATTGGTCCATATTTATTTAACGTGTTATTTTCCTGTTGGCCAATATTGTACAATGTTATTTTCTATTTTGTGGTCTGCTTGACTAGTATATAAACAAAGTATGTTTGAAATATAATGATTCATAACTCAGAGGCTGTGACTTGTGTTCTTGACTCAACTGGCTAGGACGGACAGCGAAGCAGGGCCAATCGGGGCACTAGGTCATCCACTATGTGTTAACCGTGCCACTGTAATCGACCAATAAAACGCTGCGTATCAAAACCTGAAGTCACACCCGTTACAACACTTGATTGTTATAGGATTTGATCAGTGTCGTTTAATCTGACTGTACAGAGCTGTCATTCTAGTTGCTTATTTGGTTAAGTGTTTTTTCTTTTACTTTGGCTGTTTAACGGGCCAAGTTCAAACACTTGGATCATTTTGGATCCTTGGTATTCACTGAATTTTCTGATGCGAAGTATCACAATTGAAAGTTATTTTATTTAATACTTTAATTGTATTCATTTTTTACAGTACATTATTTATACCATTTGGAACGTTCATCTTTATCATTTAACGTCATTAGCCATCAGTTTGATAACCTAGGTTCTAAATATCAGCATGTCATTTTCATTAACCTAAATATTGCTGAAGGTAATTAACAGAAGTGTACTGATATCCGTCGGGAAACTACAGGATTTCTAATTATAACTGAACAGCTATTTTGTTGTACTTTGTGAGTGTGTTCAACACTATCGACAGGTGGAAATATACATTACTGACGATCAGGGAATTCCAAAATGAACTTCTAAAAGTATAGTCAATTTCTAGCTAATCAGAACTCAAGTGACATGAGTGAATAAATCAATATATAAAAAAGCATAGGGTTAGAATCAGGAATGTTTACAATTGCATTGAAAATTACGTAAGGAGATAGTTCTTTGGTTTCAAAACTCAAGTGACTTTATGCTAACTTAAAACATTCATAATTTATAGTAAGATATTTATCAATTTTAAGGATCTTTCTAACGAAATGTTGCCATATGTCCTTTAGATTCTGGTAAGATATAATTTGTCTATCATCGCATTTCGAATTCCACTCTAAAATCCAATAGTCACTTTCTAATATCTAATTCGTTCATTATCAAAATATGCTTATACCTATCAACCAATGTTTTGATACATTGTTTAACAAAGAAGCTTTAAGGTTTCCTGTCATTAAACCAACACCAAAGTTAGCTACTGATCAAATAAGTAAATGAGATATATAAATCAATGTGTTTAGACATAGTTTTGATTAAAATTGGATCAAAAATAGATTTTAACCAGAGAGTGATTTTATGCATATTATAGTAATTTGGTAGATAAATTCATGAGTCAGTTGAAGCTAGACCGCCATGGAAAACCTGGATTAGTTGGAGTGCGACATTAATACCGTTGGATGCCGGCTCAGTGGTCTGGAGGTTAAGCGCTCGCTCGCTCGCGAGGCGGAAGCGTGGATGGGCACTGGTGAGGAGTCCCACAATAAGATCCAATGGCTGTCCAGTGCTTCCAGGTTTTCTATGGTGGTCTAGCTTTAACTGACTCATGAATTTTCTTCTACTGTTTTTACCATCTCCCTTGGGTTATGTAAATCTCAGTATTTCCCATTGAAGGTACCAGTTATTGTTCAGTCATAAGATTTATCGATGCACTTTTATTTATCGATTACAATTTAATAAAAAGTTATTTCTATATTGTAGGCTAACTTTCACTCAAGGAACTACTGATAGTAAAGAAACACTAGACATATTCAATGTGTATTTAATATGGATAATTATCATTTAGATGGTGGTTGGAGGTAGTCGACAGGAAACCCTGGACCCGGGTTTCGTACTACTTGGCACTCGTCAGCAAGGTGTACCCGTAATCTTGAGGGAACTGGTGCTCCCTGGCGGAAGCAAGAGTTAACAAAGAAACAGAAAAATAAACTTTAATTCCCTCAGTATTGATAAGTTAAATCTTATTTCATCGATTTAAGGCTATTTGAAAATAGAATAAGATTAAATTTCTACTGTTTCAAAATATGACACGTAAAGATTTTAGAACATGCAGGCAATTGTGATAGAAATACATACTTTGGTTTACATCACCATGTTTTATTTTAGTTAATTGAAATTACACTCAAAGTGTTGTTAATTCATTCATTAAACTTGATTAATGTTATATAATATTGCTTAACATTTTATGTTTAAATTATGGATTATTCAATAGTAATTCAATAGTTCTCTTATGAGATTCGAAGGTTTTTAGACTAGACTATCATTTATGGACGAACCAATCAGGTATAAGATAACGGATCTCGGATTTTAGAAGAAAATCCACTTGACACTTGACTTGATATACATAACATTGATTACATCTCAGTCCTACAGGAGGTTGGTCGCGGCCCCGATAGCTCAGTGGTAACGTCTCTGACTGTGAAGCTGGGTGACACGAGATCGAATCCGCCAGGGAGTACCAGTTCCCTCAAGATTACCGGTACACGTTGCTGACGAGTGCCAAGTAGCACGAAACCCGGGTCCAGGGTTTCCCATTGACTACCTCCAACCACCATCTAATCTCAATATATATAGTGCACTCAGTGTCCAGTCACCTAGAATGGTGGCCACATTGCAACATGGTCGGTAGTATTCGATCTGCACTAAATAAGGACTAGACACACATGACATTGATCACCACCCAGTGATCAATCAGTTGTGATACTTATCATTTGAATAACTTTTTATCAACGTGTACTTTTATTACAATAAATAATGGATTAGTACTTTATTATATTTATATATATTATGTAATAGTCATTTTTAAATGAAAAGTACTTAAGCCTGTAATACACTAATTCATACACTTTTCAATCATTGGCTATTAATTATTAACCCATTGAAAATAAATTATCTATTTCATCAACTTAAGACTTAATCATCCATAAGAAGGTACTTTAAATAAATAAAATAGAAATCAGTAAATGGGTGAAGTTATTTCATTATTGAAGGATTATTATTTTTGTTTCACAATTTGAACAACAATTTTCATGATCCAAACAACACAGGTAAATACATATATATGTTTTCTTGCAGAGAAATTTCTTATTATATGTAACTATAGTAACTGGCTTTTTGTGTTGTATATGCCCAAGTATATTTGTTTGAGTGTATGTAGTTGAATATACATTGAATACCTTGACAACCGGATAATAAAAAAACTATTCTATATTTGTATTTATTTTTAGCACATATCTTTTTTATCTATTCATCACTGGATTAATCTCATTTCCTCTAATCAGATAAAACTTCTCAAATAGTCTTAGAGTGAAAACAAATCTCTACTGTTCAGTATTGTACTAACTAACTAACTAACTAACTGACCAATCAGTGTTGAAATGACTAGGTCATGAATAGAAAAGAACGGATTTAAATTAAAATATTTGATTTTGGTATGTAGATATTTGAGAATGTGTTGTTAAGTTGTTATTGTTTAATATTCTTATATCCATTTTATGATACTTAACAGGAATAATTTTGGTAAATATATTTCATTTGAAAGTAAGAATATCATTACTATTTGTTTAGATGATTTATTGGTAAAGGAAATAGGACAATTTATTCAGTACTTTTAATTGGTTGATAGCGTTTTTTCTGGCTAGCGAGTTAGTTTTCTACGGGTTGGGGTCGCTAACCCCATTCCCTACCCTCCTCCTTTATCCGGGCTTAGGAGCGTCAGTAACCTCAGAGGAGCTCCAGGAGGAGATTTTGTAATGATAGGTAAACAGTTAACTGATTTCATTTTAACTGAAGATGTTTATTATTATCGTGGATGTGCACTGCTGAGGAGACCCACAACAGGACGAAACGGTCGTTCAGTGCTTCCAGGTTTTCAATGGTGGTCTAGCTTCAATTGACTCATGATCTCAACCACTGAAATTACTATGATATCCACAAAATCCCCTTCTGATATTTTTATAATCGTTAAAATATATTTGGGTAAAATAATCTAGAAAAACACGTTCAATATTACCTGAGTTGTTTAAAAAAGTAGTTAATTCGCTTAATTGGACATTGAACAATTTATTGAATACTAAAGTTTATTGTTCTATGACAACATTATCCATATATATAATCCAACAAGAAGCTGGTTATATGAAAGTAGAATAAAAGTAGAGGAATTTGAAAAGAAAGAGATTTAACTAGTTTATATTAGGTAAATTCGAAAATAGTCAAATGTTGATATCCATGTCATTTAAATAGAATATTCCATTATTATGGATTGAATCAAAATCTAAATAATTCATGATATTTATGAATGATATTCGTCAGAGATTAATCTTAGTTGAGATTCTATTGTAAATCAGAGAACAATAGAATATTCATTTATCCTAGCATGGAACTCCTTGATGCTGAGTGCTCTTGACTTCATCAGTAGGAGAATCCATAGCTGCTCACATTCATTACCTATCAGGGAATCGAAATTAAAACTTCCACGTCTTCTGATGAATTGATATTTAACGGTTCATATCACAAATAAAAATGACTTAATTTAGTTTAAACGTTGTAATATACCATAATAACACGAAGTAATTGACCAATGGTCCGTGGTTTTCAATGATTGTTTACCTTAGATTATTTCATAATGTGAATTATGCTTAAATTGAATAATCCGCAAAAGCTAATTGTGTTATCGAATTTTTTGTTTACTCTTCACATTTTCAGATGGATCCTTCAGATGAGAGAGAAACAAAAGATGAAATAGCACAACCAGTTAGCAGACAAGATAGTCAAATTCTAAAAGAAAGTGTTATTAAAAGTATGTGACTAATGAAAATCCATTTAGAGCTGAACAGTAAAACACTGTTCTACAACATCTTTAGAATCTGGTATTGTTTATTTAATGGTCGAGTTATTTGGAATAGTTTCGTTATTTTCTCATCAAAATTAGAGGGTTCTGGGCTTGATCCCTGATGGGGTAGTGGGATTCCATTGACTGCTGAGGGGTCCCCTACTACCATAGAACAGGTGTCCAATATTCCCTGGTTTTAAATTTTACTGCAACTGAGATCAATGAGTGACGAATATCACCCATTAATCATTGATTAACATACTAGTTTCTGATCTACTTAGATAACAAGAAAGCTTGTCTCAGCTCACTTCTAAAAGATGTTCTAATTATTCCGGTCTAAAATTCCACACACATGAATCTAATTTTGATAGGTAAATACTACATTGCAATTTACTTGTGAATATGTCGAATTATTAATTCAGTCAATTCTATTTTCTGAAATTAGAAGGAAATAAAATAAATTTTCACCAGAAAGTTTGTTTGAATCGAGACTCGTGATCTTCTTGAGAAACGCCGAAGAAACAAGGAGATTATTCAAGTATTTCACATTAGTGCGGATCTACTCATTATTTTGCTTTGTAATGGGTTCACAAAGTTTTAATCAGAATTTCGTGACTGTTGGCGTTCAATCATGTTTAGAGTGAGACCATCACTGCAATCGATGTTGATTGAATACTATTGTATTTTTCTGAATTCGTTGCAGTTGAATATTTATTTCCTTGAATTCTGACTAAGTGATCTAAAAGCATTATGCTCACGGTTGGTTTGAAATGATCTAAGTTTGGCTACCTAAGGAGATGTGAGTAAGCACTGTTCTTAAGTCTCAAACTAAGAATAGTTTGTTAGCCAATGTCATTTTGTAAAGGTGAATTACTATAAGCTATGTGGAATAACTAAGATTTGGTTAAATTATAAACAACAGCTTTTGGTACACCATTTAATAATGATAACAATAACAATAATAATAATAATAGTGATAATAGTAATAATAATGATTGTCTAACTTAATAATGATTTTTAATGATATTCTTATATATAGGTCTATTTGTAGGCTTTCTTTCGACCCCATAATTACTGGTGTTATCTTCTGCCATTCATAAATTATAAGCCAACTAACCAAAATCAGTTGATCAGCTTCGTATCAGAAATGGTCCAGTTATGCGTATCTATCAGGATATACAAATGGTGTTGTATTATGACCTTATATTATGTGCATATAATCACATGATTTACGAGTTTGAATAATAAAGTGTAATTGTGATTACTCATCTTACTTTCTAATGTGCTAGTTAGATGTTTGAAAATGTGAAGACTTTTATGGTTTAGTAATCGTGTAACAAATACGAAGTAATAGAGTTGATGGATTTATTGTTAACGGGAAGGAATAAGAATACAACTTTATTGTACTAGCCACGAAAGTTGAGTGTCTACACCCGATCATATATGTGTACATAGCGTAGTGAAACACATTTCTTAATATAATATAAGACAGAGTTATCCAATGCTCCCTGGATGTTTGATTTTTCTCCAACTAACACTAAATAGTGATTAATAGTCCTATCGAAATGTACAGATTCTTAAGGTAATTCATGGTTTGATATATCTGTATATCACTGGGAAGAGCTTTCTTCAAACTAATTCTCTTCGATGATACCTTACATCACAAATTAATTTCAGCTTGATAACTACTGCAAATTTCACAGTTTTTTTTCAAATCTGTAGATTTATGTAGTTGAGGAAGCTATATGAAATGAGACAAAAGAGAACCAACTATTCAATCATGTTTAATTTTTCTTTGATTTTAATGTCTATTCAGAATCAGGTAATTATAATATAGGCTACAAAGACATAGATCTCTTCCATTCAATATTGATCTTCATTTTCTTTTGTATGTAATTATAGGTATTTATGATTCACTTTCTTCGGCAAAAAGTCGAAAAGTCACTTTAAATCAAATATGTCGTTGTTTACAAATGCTTAATCAATGTCCTACTTCAGCTACTTTGGATAAAATCTATTCTGATTATACACCTGAAGATATGGAAGGGATTGGACCAGGTAAGCTTTTCTAATTAGGTGTAACAGAGGAAAAGTATGAATTAATAAATTTTATTAATGATAAAAGTACTGGATTCGAGTCCTGGTATTCAAAATAGGACATCCTGGATTACGCAAATGATCGTATTTCATTTATTTTATAAAAACTTGTAAAATAATGACTATTCAAAGCCAACCTCACTGGACGCACATATGTTTGAGTAAGAGTAATCAGAAATCAGTCTTCAACATCAACAATAATCTTTCCTAAATTACATGAAATTGCATACAAGATGTTTGTTGAAAATGGTTTTAAATAATAATAATAATGTTATTACCGTTTATTGATAAACATCAGCTGTCTCTTGTCACGCATTAATATTGACTGTGAAACATTTGAAGACTAGGTAGCAGTGGATAGTTGTTATGTCCAGGTATGTAACGCCGCAATGTAGTGCACAGTGAAGAAAACTAAACACAGAAAATATTTTCTGACATATCTATAAAAAGTTATCTCCACAATTCTATATCACATACCAAACATGTTATAACAGATAAGTTCAATCAAACTGACAATATGTAATAAAAAAACCCTTAACTGTAGATTTTATTCAAAAAAGTCTTTATAATCTATAGTCTGACTCACCGACTAAGCAAATTCTTAATGTTTGTAAAGTCTAAAGTAGACGGAAGGAGAAAATACAGTCTAATTATAAAGCAATACATTCAAACACAATACAAAATCACTCAGACTAACTTGATCAGGAACATGTAATCGATAGGTCTTGGCTGAACAATTGATCCACTTATCTATGATAGCTCGGTTGCAATTATAGCTAACTTACTGTGTATGACCTTGGTGCTGTGTGAATTATGTGGTTTGATTTGATACATCTAAAATGAAAATCATATTATAGAAGATCTATTTCACGTGAATAAGTAAAATTAAACAACCAGATCTGTTGTGAGTTAGTAACTCACGGAAGACAATGGTGTACGGTGGCGCAACCTCGTGGATTGGTTGAAGTTAGACATTAACACCGTTGTATACCGGCTCAGTGATCTAGTTGGTTAAGCGCCTGACGCGAAACTGATAGGTCCTGGATTCGAATCTCGCGGGGTGCGGGATCACGGATGCGCACTGCTGAGGAGTCTCGTACTAGGACGAAACAGACGTCCAGTGCTTCCAGGTGGTCTAGCTTCAGTTGACTCATGATTTAAATCAGTGAAATTTCTAAAAATCTCCACAAAACCCCTTCTAATAACTAGATGAGAAGTTGTTTCATTTAAAAACTGTCTAATCTTCCACCAAATTATGCATTCATTTTCAGCTGTATAGTTAAACATTAACCATATTTAATATTCAATATGACAAAAATTCAGTAACTGAAACACTGAACTATAGTTTATAACAAACTGTTAGTATGTCTATTATGCATAAAATATTAGGTAAAAGTTGAATTCCGGATATGCATTTAAGTGAACATCGAAGTTATGAGATTTTCAAGGTTACCAGCTTAGTCGGAAGACAGTTTTATTGAATATAAATAGACATCATTTCTGTAGAATAATTTTATATTTTCCCGTCCGATTTATTTATTTGTATACACATCCGAAATATTTACTTAACCAGAGAAAGAGAGTAAAAGGATGTAGGAAGCCAGATTGCTCAAATCAGGATGAATATGTATATATAAGTTATTGGATTAATCCAGATCAAGATATGAAGTGGTAACCTTCATCAGGCGAATAAACTGTTCACTTAAGGTAAGCCAGCTCAAAATTGGATACCTGAAATACGATATGACCTAGCAACAGAATGTGATCTATTAGGACTTACTCGGGGTATTAAATGATTAAGAAAACTGAAACACGTTTGATGAATAGTTTTTAAACTAAAGTTTTACTGATGGCTAAAAAGATAACACTCATTTCACACAAAGGTATTTAAAAGTATGCCAATATAGACTCAATTTCTTCACTAAATGAATCAGAAATCATCCACTTAATTCTTTGAAGATGAACTCAACACAATGTCTATGTACATAAATGCAACGCCGCTAATGACAAGCAATAACAAGTATCTCAAGGTAAACTGAATTTACATTTGTGAAAACGATGGAAAATTCAACTTCTAATTGCAATCAGCTTGGATAATGTTGTTTATAGTAACAATGAGAACTTTGTAGTTAATGCATTTGCTGTGAGAAAAATTCAGTATCATTAATAGCATATAACTGGATTGAAAAGATGATCCATCATTTCGAAATTTAGCATCAAAGGGTGATCATAAATGTTGATCAGTATTATGTGATTAATGACAATCGACAGGGCCTTACGTTTTGTTCTACTTTGTACTTGTCAACAAAACACATCTCCAGTTTTCAGTGGATTGACTTTATCATTAAGATTCAGATTCAGATTCTTCAGATTCACAGTCTAAGACGTTTCCATGGGGTTATTGGTTCCGTGCTGACCTGTAGGATTGTTATATCTATAGTGTTTGATGAGTAGTAATCAATATCATATTTATCTACTCTTTATTGCTGATGTAAACTCAGTCTCAACGCAAGTAGCTCACTGTTAACATCTCAAGCTGTAACACTGAATAATCTAGACTCTAATCCTACCTGAGGCATCAGTGCCCTGAGGACTGCAGATACCCGTTGGTGACCAGTGGCAGCTAGCACGAAACTTTGATCCAGGCTTCTTTCAAACTGACTCCGACCAACTAACACATTACTATTAGTTTAATTAAATCATAACTATTTCCTCATTGCGTTTATTTGAATCACGAACAGTGCTAAGTCGGTTTTCATACTCTGTCCTTGTTCTTTTCTCATTCAAATTGTTTTTTTGTGTATTGCTTTATATTACTTGTTAACAGTTCTATTTATAATTATTTCTGAACATATTGTAAAATTCATTGCATTTATCACTATAATTACTTTCCCCCAGCCCTTGTAACAGTCATTCTCAGTTGTTTTTTTTACATTCCTTGAATCTTTGTCTGATAACAACAACTTTCATATTTGTGTGTTCTTAGTTCTTATTTTGGACGTTGATTAACTGCTGTTAACACTAAACATAGAGTGAGACTATGATTTATGGAAGAACCAATCATATTTAAGATAACAGGTCTTGAATTTTGGCGCGAACTTCATTCACTCATTTGGTTAAACATCATTTTGACATTATAGCTTATGTCATTTCGTAATGAAAACGTCAAATCTAATTCCTAATCCTAACGTTCAACTGTAGATCCTAATCCTAATTCTTTACACTAATCTATAACCATCATTTAACCTTAGTAAGTAGATGGACATTCCAAGATCATTTTGATGTTGCTAAAAGATCGTCTATAAATTATAGTCTCATCAAGGATCGTTCCTTAAACAGATCATTGTTCATTTGTTTTTTAACTTACATTTCACACACTTTGACAGAATTAATAATAATCCTTTTTCAACTTAAATAATGAATGGATTTTCATCACGGCATTTGTAACGTTCATACTTCCTTTTTCAATTTATAGAGAGTATTGCTATAGATTTGGATCAATTTACTGAAATAATTCAAACATATTCCTATACAAGAGAGGAAAGATTGAATCAATTGAATAATGCATTTCTGGTGAGTTATTATCATAAATCAACAACAACAACAACGACCAGGTTTCATTATGATTAGTCTCTAGATAAATTGGGCTAGTTTCTGACTATGTATGATAATTACTATCCAATGTCAGTTAATGATAATTAATACAAATCGAGGTAATATTTAATAGAATATTTCAATAGTTTTGTGTACATTCCAAATATAGATCAATCGAACAGTTGTTTTTGTTCATTGTCCTATTTGTATAACTATTTTGTACTCAATAATTGTTATGAATGACACGTTAATACACTACAGATCTGTTAATTAGTCTTGTATCAAAATGGCAGTGATTTATATATTAAAATGTTTAAATTGTAATCTATTATGAGTTTGTATATTGTATAATATAGAATTATATGTGTTATTGTGGTATGTGCTACTGATATCCACAGATATAAGTAGTATGTATCATCTATGGACTGTGAAATATCTGACAGCAGAAAGTTAGAAAGATCGAAGAAAAGGGAATGAGAACAATGAATGATTGCTGTGTAAATAAAGGAACAGTGAAGTTTGAAACGATTGATTGATATTTGCAAACGAAGTATTTATTGCATAGGTCTTAGAATTTACTAAGATTTTCTGTAATTTTGTGTTCAGATACATTCGATTGTCCCCATTTATGTTCTCGTTCACTATATTATAAGTTTAAATATTAAAATGTACTTGCAATAACTCATTTATATTTTCTAGTATTCTAAATGGTAGTTTGAAAAAAGTAGGATCAGTGAAAGTAACCTTTTAGAGACGAGCCAATCAAAATTAAAGAAACCACTTTCGAATTTTCTCATAAAATTTTAAAATAAACGTCTTGAGCTGGTGTAGAAGATTTGTAGCTCAGGTGAATGATTTTGATGGAGTTTTATTCTCTGAGCTGGATGGTTTGATCGTGGCGTCTTCATCGTTGTTCTTCTACAAACTTCTACATGACGTTTTTGCTGATAATGTCGTTCTGAAGAACAATGAAAACTCCATGAATAAATCATCCGGCTCACAGAACAAAACTCCATGAAAATAAACGTCTTTAATACTTTTTCACATTAAATATACAATAGAAATATTTTTATTTAGGTATTCAGATTGTTTAAATTTATTAGGAAGAATTCCTTTTGTCATCACAAAGTAAAATATGATAATGTTAGACTTGACATTTGCTCATTACTCTATATGTATTATTATTATTGTTAATGGCTTTATTCAATATTATATTTATGGTACAATATAGAATTCTCAGCACAAGGTATTCTAACAAGTTCCCTTTTCTTATTTCTTGATCGATCACGGCGAGTGGTCTCTGGTTAGATGTCAACAGTTCAGTAATCGATATCTGAATAATGTTGATCCTTTTGAGTGCATATTTTCAATCACCACGATGTCTTTGATTGCACTTTTTTATAAGTTGTACAGAGAAAGGTTTTAAACATTTCATAAACACACCTGAATAAGTTGTGCAGTTAGTAGACATAATGATGTGTTAAAACAAAACAAAAAGAGGTAACTTGTTAAAATATCTAGATGAAAGGAACAGGTAGCTCAAATATTCCATCTGGCCTCCAGTTAATCCGTTCAATTTCAATTTACATGGTTTGTAGCAGACTAGTAATGATGAAATCATTTCATTAGTGATTCAATAAGTAATAATAAGCTGTTTAAAAAAGAATACTAAAATATATGGCGATTTCTACATATGACTTTTCTTAACCACAGTTTTTCCTCAATGAATTTATCAGTGTAGATTTTGAAGGTGACAATGAACTTTGAGGATAGTAGTCTAAGGAATATTCAGTGAGGAAGCTTTGGGGTGGACAAATTCGCTCATACATAGATTAACGAAGTTATGTAATGATATTTCTACAATATTAAGATTGGACAACTGATAATAAGCCTTGAAAAATCAATAAGCTTCCTAAAGTCACAATACTGTTGCAGGTTGCATTAATTCTCTCGCAAAATAGACTGTCTGTTGATTGGCGTAAAGGTGGATTACTGTATACATTCTTGTGTCTACAGCAATCATTAGGTAAATACTGTGGAATTGGATTTGTTATTCTCTGACGTAGGCAAGGCACAACACAATTTGACAATTATTTTCCTCTGTTAAATATTTCAATCAATAATTACTGCGAAGATGATTATACTAAGTAATCTTCAATAAACACTGTGGCCTATGAAATCAGTTAAATGAGGAGAAGTGAGAACATGTACTCATTGATAACATTAAGTAGCCATAATGAAATACCATGGACTAATATTGATTTGTTCACTGGGAAATTTTGATGATTTGTTTTTTTTACTGGATGCACAGTAATAAACAACACTTAACTAATATGAATTAACTGTTTAGTGTCGAACTTTTTACTCTGACAAAATTACTAATTCTCAGTTCGTCGTACTCGCTGCTGTTACCTGAATGTTATCACTTCTATCCCAAGTGAACTTTGTGGAAGTGCACTTTTAAAAAACCTCTAACCAAGGCTAAATAAACTTATAGCACTATCTAGCTAACATTTTTTCAGATTAATATCAACACTGAATGTCATTCTATAGAAAATAACAATTCCAGGAATAGTACTTATTTAAATAAAGCAAGAACAAATATTGATGCAGAATAGTATGAATTCATATTATTTCGAGGTTTCTCGTCAGCTGCTTACAAACCAAAAAATGTGATAGAATTTTTACATGGAGATAGAGTGAAAAACAATAATAACTATATATATATATGCTAGAACAGGTCAGAGGTCAAAAGGAATTAATTCGGGTTGGGTGGTGTAATAATGCAATTGAATAATCATAAGATAGGTTACGTAATAATAATTAAATAGAATATGAAAAGTTAAGATAATTTAGGAGGATCAGGTGGTGGAAATGCGTAAATAATAATGTGGTTTAAGAATTATGTAATAGGGGAGGAATATAAATATTTTAAAGTAAATAAAAATAAAATAATGATAATAATAATAATAATAAAGGGTTGCCAGGGTAGTGATAAGCTAATTAACGTCTCTTTTTAAATGCATAAGTCAGGTTTAAGTTTTTTGATCATAATAGCTTCAGCAAAACGGAGGGTGGTCGTATTTCTTTGTCTATTGATAACTTTGAAAGCATGAGGAATGTCGATGGTGTGCCCGGTGTCGAGTAGAGTGCATGTTCGCATTTCTGAGCATGTTCCAAAAAACTTGAGGCTGCGTGGGACCAGGGCTTTCAACAGTGCAATAGCTCGACATCTACTCGACACCGGGCACACCATCGACATTCCTCATGCTTTCAAAGTTATCAATAGACAAAGAAATACGACCACCCTCCGTTTTGCTGAAGCTATTATGATCAAAAAACTTAAGCCTGACTTATGCATTCAAAAAGAGACTTTAATTAGCTTATCACTACCCTGGTAACCCTTTATTATTATTATTATTATTATTATTGTTATTTTATTTTTATTTACTTTAAAATATTTATATTCCTCCCCTATTACATAATTCTTAAACCACATTATTATTTACGCATTTCCACCACCTGATCCTCCTAAATTATCTTAACTTTTCATATTCTATTTAATTATTATTACGTAACCTATCTTATGATTATTCAATTGCATTATTACACCACCCAACCCGAATTAATTCCTTTTGACCTCTGACCTGTTCTAGCATATATATATATATATATAGTTATTATTGTAACCCAGATATTTACACTCATCTATGTCATTTGTTTTCACTCTATCTCAATGTAAAAATTCTATCACATTTTTTGGTTTGTAAGCAGCTGACGAGAAACCTCGAAATAATATGAATTCATACTATTCTGCATCAATATTTGTTCTTGCTTTATTTAAATTCATAAAGGGAACCAATTGCATGAAATAGTACTTATTGATGGTAAGTAGTATATTCAGTAAAACGTGATTTCACTTTACTTACTTCATTTGAATACATAATGTTTTCATTAACTTTACCTTATTTTGACTTTCCTTACAAATATTTTACTAGTTCTTTGATAAAAATGAATCTGGTGTCGTGGATACAGAACCAATGAAAACAATGCTGTTAACTGTCGGTGACTGTTTTACAGATAAGGAGTGTAATGAATTTTTTAAAGAAGCTGCACCTGGAACAGATGGAAAATGGCCTTATGATGGTATGTGACCTGGAGGAAGTGGGTACTGAGGTAGCAAAAGGAACACATCATAAACTGTTTGTCTTTACTGAAAAAAATTTGTTTATACGTAGAATTTGCACAACATCATCCTAATCAATGTGAACTTTCTAGAAACATTAGTGTTGAATAAGATAGACAAGACAATCTGATGACCATATGTTTTTCTGGTTAGCGTTTTTTCAGCGAGTTAGTTTTCGACGAGATAAGGTCACTAGCCCCATGCCAAACCCTCCTCCTTTATCCGGGCTCGGGACAGGCAGTAGCCCCAGAGGGGCTCCAGGCGGAGTTGATGACCATAGTACTTAATTAGAAAATAGATCCCGTTGTTTAAATCACAGACTGACTGTACTTAGAGAACCACAGAAAATTAGAAATTATTGGACAACTATTTCGTGCTATTAATGAACTTCTCTGATGTACTGATCTGTGACTTCTGCAGGGATTGAACCTAACGCCTTTAGGCCTTGAAGTGGGCTTGTACTAGAGAAGACAGAAAACTATAATCAGATCAATTATCAGAGGCTATAACAAAACAAGTAAACAATCTTGTTAGTATTATTGGTTCATCTATAATCAGTAAATCAGCTGAATCAATAAAATTACTAATGCGATTCGTCAGATTTTCGCAAAAAACGTTTGATAACATATTCATTCAAATGGGAATGATATGACCGTAACCTTTAGACTATTATTGGTATTATTATTATGACGGACATTGTTTAAACTGAACGATCATTTTAAGAGCTCGGATAATTTGAAATAAAATGTCTATTACGTAAAACCTCTTACCACATAATGCTAAACACAATAATACCATGACAAAAATTAACCTATTATTATTAGTGGCTTTATTTAATATTATATTTTTGGTACAATATAGAATTCTTAGCACAAAGTATCTCAGTGAGCTTCTGTTTCTTATTTCTTGATCGATATTGAAGATGAATAGTGAGCGATTGCCAGTTAGATGTTAGCAGTTCAGAAGTCGACATCTGAATGATGTTCATTCTTTTCAATGCATATTGCAAGCTATCACGATGTTTCCGACAGTAAATTTTTGAAACTTGTACAGCGAAAGGTTGTAAACTTTTCACAAACGCACCTGAATAGGTTATGTAATCAACTGACATAATGATCTGCTAAATTAAACAAGGAAACAGATAACTTGTTTAAATATCTAGAAGGCAGTAACAGGTAACTCAGATATTCATGCACGCCGCCAGCGTAGTGCATAAGACATTGAATAATATTTTCGTTTTGTTTAAATCAATGAAGTGAACATATTCGATGTTATTCTAAAGATTATATATATATATATATACGAAGTTTTTTTGTTCTACATATTATGTCAAAGATTTCGTCAAAAAGCTGGTCGATGCTTATCCACGTCCACAATCAAAGAAAGCGAGATCTGCAGGAACAGGTAAAAAGAGGAGTGCTAGAAAATGATTAATTTTTAAACTAACAGTTTATAAACCGTAATGGTTTACTTTTTCAAGAACTTATAAAATGTTTAAGAATGATTAGATCTATGTTACGTGTATTCAATATTTAAATATATTTTATGATTACACTTGTATATTGTTTATCTTACGATATGCTCATGGATTAATTGGGGTACATATTGAGGATTAACTCTAGGAACAGTAAGACTCATTCGTGATTGAAAAGTATCCGGGAAGAGACATTTGAATAGCTTTCGACACATACCTGTGTGTTAAGTAGATGAGTGGTTTGTCTTTGGTGTGGGAAGTTTTACTGCCTCAATAAAGGCTATTTCATTGTACAACTAATCTATTTATATAATCTTAAGTTCACCTTAAGAAGACAGTACATAAATAATATAATAACAAATAAGGTGTTAAATTAGGAAAGTGTAAACCTTAACGAAGGAAGTAAAGATTCTAGGCCTGCTTTCCAATCAGTCCTAATAAGACAAGTGTCAAAAACAACCAATCATATTCAAAATCGACAAAGCATGCTGCTAGTCACTTGTATAGAAAACTTCATGACTCCCCTCTACCAGAAGTTTGTACCGATAATGTTATTTAAGTATATAAAAAATCTTCACAACTAAATCGTTTAACTCAGAGAATGCAGTTCCCATAAATTTATACACTTAAACAATAAATCTGCTTGTTTATCTCGGAAAACGAAACGATTTTTACAGAAATGTGGTCAGATTTTAGTGTACTTAAATGAGAAGAATCGCTGTCTAGTGATTAAAATTATTTTTCAACCTTCAGTTGACACAATATACAAGATATTATATTTATGTTTCTGTATACTGTTAACATTTTTTAATGAACTGCATTACTCTTGGGAAATGTTAACTGTTATCAAACTGATTCAAAATTAACCGCGTCTACATCAAATTAGAACAAGACCCCAATCAACTGTATGAATTTTAGTCTTCATATTGTTGAAGTAGTGACCCGAAAACTTTGAAAAAAAAACTGTTTTGAATGCTGACTTTAAGAAAAGAATTAGGGTTTCAAAATAATCTACGAAGAATAGCACCGAAATAATCATAGTTGTCTGCTGTATACTTGTTAATTCACATGATACAACTGACTAGATAACACCATCCATGAGGATATTCACTGGTGATAGCCAAATGATTTGGCTTAGATCTCTCCTGTTATAATCTGAAGTCATATATAGGTTCATCACAAGAAGCCTACATACCAGTAGACTGAGAGGTTTTTTAGAATCTCATTCCACTAAATACTACTTTGAAAATCACACTACTAATAAGTAGCCTAATATGTTCAGTAAAAAATACATGTGCACAGGTTTGAGTACTAAGCTGAAAATGGAATGGTGATGCATAGAGTTCAAAAACTTCACTTCTTTGGTATCATTTTATAGTTATATGACATTACTTTGTAGCACAACTTTTCCGTTTAAGGTACCGTTAATCTAAGGAAGCCATCACAGTAAGTGGGATAACACTCTTTAACTATACAATGTTCTGAACTCCATCTGGTCGACAGAATTCGATTAGTCAATCAACTATAAACAACATAAAAGCCGAGGCATCAACAGATCACTGGCAATACCTCAAAATTCTAATGGATGCAACAACTTCTTCGACGCTGTAGATACACCTTGTTAATGAATGGTAACTATGACAAAACTTAGACTAATCAGATTTTCACGTCAACTCCCTCTGACCATTGGGGACTGTTTTGATTGTATGTGATATAACCAAGATCTAAATTCGACTAAAACTAGCCAATATATCATGATCAGACACTCAAGAACTTTGCTGTCCACCATGTGTTATCATCTGAAATAACAGTGACCTATTTTTTGTGATACATAAGTTCATCAATAATATGATGTTTCATTTTACAGAGCAACATACCATCAGTATTTTTTCCATAACAATCGTATACACACAAACATTTATGTTCACATTGCTTACCCAAGGTCAAATGATAGCTGTAGGCTAAAATATTCCTACAGTCTTATCGTTTTAGTTTATTGGGAAACTTTTTTTTTTATCATCATCAATCATCATCACTTAATTAATTTGTTTTCAATTTAAACGATCAAGTGTTTGAATTAAATGGAAACTTTATGAGTATTCATTGAATGTAAGTTTAACTGGGAACTAAATTGAAACAAGGTAGGATGAAGAATGATGTATGTAAACACTAGCATTTCATGATATTAGAGACTTTAAAAGTGTTATCCAAGAATCTGAAGTGAGTGAGTATAGAAAACCGCTTCTTCTTAGATAGTTCTTTTTAATAAGAATACAAAACTAAATTATTGAATGAAATTATTGCTGTTAAAATACAAATCATTTATTGTGTTTACATATTATTTGTTTAAAACACTCAAAATACTTTGTTTGCAGTATTTTGGTTGATTATAGCAAATAAACTTCATTGACTACAAAGAAGCATTTGATAGCGTGGACGGAACAACCCTATGGAAGCTTTTTTGACACTACGGCGTACCTGAGAAAATACTCAATATCATACAGAATTCCTATGATGGATTAAACTGAAAAATCGTGCGTGGGCGACAATTGACAAACTCGTTCAAAGTAAAGATCGGTGTCAGACAAGGTTGCTTACTCTCAACTTTCCTCTTTCTCATGGTGATTGACGGGATCACGAAGACGTCAACATCTGAGAGGAAGCTTGAGATACAGTGGACAGATAGGATGCAGCTGGACGATCTAGACTTCGTAGATGAGCTGACTATTCTATCGCACACGCAACAACAGATGCAAGAGAAGCCGACCAGTGTAGCAGCAGTAAGACTTAACAACCCAAAGGAAAAGCAACATTCTCCGATACAACACAGCATGCAACAATCGAATCACACTTAACGGAGAAGATTAGGAAGATGTAAAAACCTCTATATCCTTGGGCAGCATCATTGATGAACACAGTGGATCTGATGCAGATGTGAAGGCACGGATCGGCAAAGCAAGAGCATTATATTTACAACTAACGGACATCTGAAACTCAAAACAACTCTCAACCAACCCCAAGGTCAGGATTTTCACTACAAATGTCAATACGGTTCTACTGTATGGAGCGGAAACCTGGAGAACTACGAAAACCATCATCCAGAAGATACAAGTGTTTATTAACAGCTGACTACACAAAACACTGCAGATCCGTTGGCTAGATACTATTAGCAACAACCTACTATGGGAGAGAACAAACCAGATCCCAACGTCAGAAGAAATCAGGAAGAAGCGCTGGAAGTGAATAGGACATACATTGAGGAAAACACCAAACTGCATTACAAGGCAAGTCTTCACATGGAATCCTGAAGGCGAAAGGTGAAGAGGAAGACCAAAGAACACATTACGTCGAGAATGAAATGAAGAACAATTAGATAGAAATGGAAAGGCAGGCGGTGGCCAGAATGGGTTGTAGAATGCTGGTCGGTGGCCTATGCTCGATTAAGGTTAATAGGCCTAAGTTAGTAAGTAAGTAATAGCAAATAAAAGGGTACAAACTTATCTGAGTAGTGATGGCAAAACTTAATGAAATTGAAAGACATATACTTACTCCTGTAAGGATGCAGTTGAAACTAGACATGAAGTTCGTCATTAATGTGCATCTACAATATTTTCATAGATCGAGCTCAGAAGATTTAGATCTAATAGTGAGTTTTTGACTACCTAATCATTATTCAGTTGTTGTAACTAATTGTATCAACTAAATCCTGATAAAACACAATAAAATTCAATCCCATTGAAAATTATTTGTTTTACTTTAGACATGGTTGGATTTCTTCAGCTAAAAACTATCACTTAAGCTTCCTAATTACATGGTTTTCAACTTCACTTATTTAATATTATAAGCGAATGGTCACCTTATTTCTCAAGTCAATGGACAATAATTTTTCACTGCTTAAGTGTCACTATTCAGGATAATAGTTTACAGCTGATACAAAACAGAACTGAAACTCAAATGATATTATCAAATGAAAATACACTAAAAAACGAAACCTATATAGCTTGACTCTCCTCTTTGATTGCGACTTTCACTTTACTATCTTCGTAATAAATTAAAGATGTAACATTTATAATAACATCACTGTAATATGCTTTGAATAGAATGCTTTTTTCTTATGAAATATAAATAGATAGGCTGTGGCAATCCAATACATGAAGCTTGGTTCAACCTATTTGGAACTGATCAACAATAGGATAACTTAAACCTCCCTATAAATATCACACCCATTGTACAAGTAAGTTGCAATTTGAACTCAATATGTGACATAATGTGCATATAAATCGAACATAACTGACTTCAAGTCTCAGTCTGAACATTAACACTGAGATCCAGATTCATACAGCTGTGGAATCCTGAACAGGATTAAATGTGCTTCTTGGATTTCATTGTTAGCCATTATATTACAATATTAAGACAATCAACACAGGATGCACATATGTTAATTAAAGCGAATTAAAATTCATTCAAGAATAATAACAACAGGATAAATCAAATCTTTCATAAAATACAGTTTTACATTAAATACCACTACAGTATAGTGGAATCTCGTATGTATATGACATTGTTTTTGAACTTTTGATCTGTACTATGGTATCGGAGTGTTTCAAAGTGTGGGACTACCAGATCAAATCACAATCTATGCTTAGATTCAACTCACTAAATCAAACTACTGGAAATGTTAGATAGAGACAATTAGTATAAAGTTTGAAAAAACCACCATACAAATAAACAAACAAATGAACAAATCAATGAGCTCAAAGTTATCTAGCTGGGAAACTGTGCTGTGGAGTGCCCAGGGTACAGTTTGGGGCTAGTGTTATTCCTCTTGTATGTAAATGACCTTCCTCGTCTCCTATCATCCTCGTCTTGCTATATGCTGACGATGTCGAGATATGGAGAACGATACGATGTAAGGATGATGGCTTAGAAATCCAGAATGACCCGAAGAAATTATCT